AAGGAGTGGCTTCACAACAACTCTGTGACTGTTCTTGAATGGTCCAGCCAGAGCCCTGACTTAAACCCATTTGAGCATCTCTGGAGAGACCTAAAAATGGCTGTCCACCAATGTTTACCATCCAACCTGACAGAACTGGAGAGGATCTGCAAGGAGGAATGGCAGAGGATCCCCAAATCCAGGTGTGAAAAACTTGTTGCATCTTTCCCAAAAAGACTCATGGCTGTATTAGATCAAAAGGGTGCTTCTACTAAATACTGAGCAAAGGGTCTGAATACTTAGGACCATGTGATATTTCAGTTTTTCTTTTTTAATAAATCTGCAAAAATGTCAATGATTCTGTGTTTTTCTGTCAATATGGGGTGCTGTGTGTACATTAATGAGGAAAACAAATTAACTTAAATGATTTTAGCAAATGGCTGCAATATAACAAAGAGTGAAAAATTGAAGGGGGTCTGAATACTTTCCGTACCCACTGTATATATATAATCATAAGTGATTATTTGATTATTTTTTTGTCTGTGTAGCCAGAATATAACGTGCCATTTCCCCCAACCCAGAAATGTTCTTGTAAGTATTCGATTATCAATGTTAATAATCATTATTACAATATCAGCAAATATTCGACAATGATGGTCATAATATTGCAGCCCAATCCTGTAATGAGTTCCTGTTTTTTAATTAAATAGTCTACGTTATGTTTTTTGTGTAAGAAATGTATGCCACCTGTGATCAGCATTAGGGGACATTCACACAGAATCCTTTTTTGCTTTCATAAACGGAAGACGTGGGCAGTGGAATGGGAGAAAAATGCAAGGTCTCGAAACACTTTTTTTTTTTCAAAGTTGAACTAATTTTCAACGGTCAAACATGTCTGTCTAGTGCATTTACATAAAAAAAAACAATGGAAAAGTAGCACAATAGAATGGAAAAACATGTTCTATATGAACTGCCCAAAAACAGTCTGTGTAGATAAACATACATTCCATGTCAGATGCAGCTTTTGTTTCACCTTTGCAGTGTAAAAATAGCTTTTGTTGATGCAGCTAAAATTTAATTGGTAACAGCCTACAGTGTTCTAATTGACTGAATTAATTGTTTGAAGTATTTGACACAAAAGACAACACTTTAAGTAAGATAATTTCTGACCCTGGTGCACAGGTTGTTATTGATTGAGGCGTCTTATGATCAGATACAGTATGTGTGCTGCATTGTGACTTGTTTTGGCTGAAGGTGGGGCATGAGCTAGAAGCTAGAGAAGGGCACGGCCCTGTGCAGGTGCCCGAGGCCGAGGTCTCGTCTAGGCTTGAATGGGTCTCCTGAGCTGCCCACTGGGCTCCAGGCCAGGCAGAGCCGCTGTCTAATAGAGATTAATAGGAGTCCTGGATCTGTTTGGACACTGGACTCCTTGAGCATGAAATACAGTCTCACAGGGTTGGCTGGAGTGTTGATTTATGTCGTCTAGATCCCAAATGTCAGCGTCTGTGTGGGGTTTTATCTCCCTTCCGGTAGTGTTTTACCTCCTCTCTCACCCCCATAAAACAAACGCATGGCCATCTATATGCCCAAACAAGTGCACACCGTCATGTACACACGCTCACGGTGTCCAATATTAGATCTATTAGATATCGAGGCTGTGAGAGGAATGCATACTAAAAAGCGTGTCCTTGGCCCAGAGGGGAATGATTCTTCACTCTGCAGGCGTGTGTGTGTGTTCAGTGCTGTACTTCAGAAAAGTAGCTATCAGGTTTGTTAGGAATTTTATGTGTTTTGTTAGCTGCTTTAGCTTTTGTTCTCTTAAAATATGTAATGGAATATCGTCATATTTCTACTGGAAAATTATAAATTATAAGTAATTCATAATGCCGGACAGACTGTACAGTATTCCACTCATTACATGGCTACTTTCCAGATAAATAAATAATTAAATGGACATGAAATATCGATTTGAAATTATTTTAATCTGTGATAAGAAAGTGGAGTGATATGAGAGACATACAATAAAAATAGCACACACACAGTATGTAGGAAATTGGTTGCTAGGCGCAACAGTGTATTATAGTTTTGTGTCAACCCTATTTGAGTGTAGAATGTTGCAGTTAACAGATTGAAATATTCCAGAGTACACATTGCAATGCATTATATCTACTTTATAATATCTAACCAACTGATGGTTAAATCTGTAAATTATTGATTATTAGAATGCATTATAAATGTTACGCTTGGTGAAACGGAGGAACGAAGGTGAGAGGATCCAAATGCAGATGAGTTTTAATAATGGAATTAACAGGAACCAAAACAGGAGTCCATGAACAGGAGAGAACCAAACACATATTTGTTAAAGGGGTCATATGATGCTATTTTAAAGATCATTACACTGAAACACACAGAGTCTCCCTGACATGGCTGCATCAACACTACTGATGTTTCTGAAACCACGCCTTCTTTCTTTGCGTGCACATTTGGGCGGCATTATGCTAATATTTCCACATAGTGACGTAGACATGTGGGGGCATGTTAGAACGAGCCATTTTAGGTAGGCGTGGCTGAATCTTAACTTTTATAAAGAATATCTCTTTGGATTTGAGACTTTAGTCTTTGCAACTTTACAGATCTTCTTTATGCACCAAGAGCTTGTAACACTCCAAAGAGAAAGGAAAAATTGAAATCGCATCATATGACCCCTTTAACATTAGTTAATGCTGTAAACTAAAATGAAAATTTTTATTCACTATCATTAACAAAGGTTAATAAATGCTGTAAAAATATATTGGGTTGCACTTTTTTTTACAGTATGTACTTACAGTGTACTTACCCAAGAGGTACTGTAGTATGAGGTAACTACATGGGTTAAGGTTAGGTTTAGGTGTAGGTTCAGGGTTAGTACCTAGTTGTTACCCAGCTATTGTAATTGCTATAATAAGTACATAGTATGTACACGCGGAACAGGACTGTAAAATAAAGTGCTACCATATATTGTTCACTGTTATTATTGCATGTTAGTTAATACAATAACCTATTTTAACAAATGAGACCTTATTGTAAAGTGTTACTAATGTATCTTGTTTGTATAGACCTCATAACGCCCAACAAAAATTAAATATTGCTCTACCCTGACTAAGGTCTATAATGCTTTGAAAAAATACTGATATCAGTTCATATCTGTTATGCTAATGATATATCATTCATACCTGATTAATGTATAATGCAAAAAATATCTCATCGTCCTGAGGCAAATAAAAAAGAAGCGAGACATGATGCAACAGGCAAATATTCCCATCTACATAAGATCAATTCTGGAATATTATAATAAATATCATTAAAATGTGTCACATATACAAGCGTCAAGTGTTATATCAGAATGTCATTAACATGCAATCCACAAAAATGCAAAAAAAAAAAAAAAAGAGAGTATTACCTAATGTATTAGTTCAGTGAGCGTTGTGCAGTGTCATTGAAGACACATGTGAAATGTTTCTCTCTCAGTCTGGAGTCAGAGTGTGTGTGTCCTGATGAGCAGGTGTCTCTCATGACAGCTCAGTAACGCGAGCGGTTACGCGGCAATGTGCCAGCAGATTGGATTAGCTGCTCCAGACCCCAAGGGCACGGCGGGCCGCTTGCTTCACACACCCACACACGCACCCACTGACACCACTCTGCTTTTGTCCACTGCTAGACTGCCTTTGTTCCTCACATGCATTGTCCCCCCTTTGAGCTGCCCACTTCTTATCTCCCCCTGTTTCTCGTTCCCTCTTGTGCTCCCTGTTTTATCTCAGTCTGTCCTTCTATTCTTATCATTTTTTTGTTGACAGTTTCTTTATATCCTTTTTTCTCTCTCTCAGTCTTATTTTTCCTTCTTCACACTCACGTCTCTTTTCACTCCACTTTTTTTTCCATCTCTCCATATGCTGCCGTCACAGTAAGAAACATCTCAGACCTGCCAGGTTGGGGTTTCCATGGTGACAGGCCTACTAAGGTGGTGGCTAAGGCACTATGATGGCCCACACTATTTCTAATTGCAGATTCCCCTGTTACAGCTGAAGGGAGAGATCTGTATAGACACTCAGACTGCATAGACTTCGTTTAAGGAGGA